TCGACAGATCTCAAACTAAAGCTATCAAATAAATACTATGCGATCAAAACTGAGTTGCTGTCGAGCCACCTTTGGAATTTTTGTTTACATGGGAAATCGTACTTAACTTGAACTTCCAAAGGCGACTCGACAGCAACTCATTTTTGATCGCCCGTTATTTAAAATCTTAGACCATATAGTACATGGACTGCTATTATCCCTAGGCTTTCAATACAAAATGGTTGGTCACGGATAGAGGACACTGCAGTCGTGGGTATGTGAATCTCAGGGTAAACTAAAGTCGTATGAACACCACTCGGATCGCGTAAAGAGTAGCTTTTATGGGAACCGCGTAGTACGGGAAGCTTTAAATACTCTTGATTATCTTCTATACGTCCACAAATACGGATAGGTTTGCTTTTTTGGCATATCTAGGCGATTAATTAATTGACGTTTGTTAATTTATAGGTTGACAGTCTCAAATCGTGTCTAATCGCACAACTTCGGCCAGACTCGTTTACCCTGAAACTCACATTCCCAGGCGATGTCCTTGACCATATTTTCGTTACAATTAGCAGTCCATGTACTATATGGTCTAAGTTTAAAATGCAAATACTTTAAAAGTCGAACTTGACCTAACCTTTGTATTTTGTTTTCACTCGAATGTCAAAGCGCAGCAGTGTTGCCATGCGCATGCTACTAGGACGCGCTTATTCTGAAACAACGAGTCCCAAACCAGTGCGCGCAGGTGCAGAAATGATGAACATACTGAAGTACATATGACATTTTTTTCGTCATCGACTAGGTCTACATAATGCCCAGTATTCTCCCTCGACTTTTCGTTTCGCACCCTCTTCCTGACGCGTTTGTTTACAAGTACAACCGAGCCAACGGGAACCGTACGGATACGACACGCGGATGCTCCGGTCACTATACCCGTTACTCACGGATATGATACGGTGTTGATACGGTCTAGAGGACATAGTAGTCCGTATCTCAATTGGAACCTGGACTCCGCATATTAAATGCCTAAACATCTCTACGTTGTCCCTATAAATTTAAAGTATGACAAAGGTATTTTACTGATGTGATGAGTGATATCGATTCAGAAAGAATGCCGCCGTGCTTCTCTAATGCCACTTTTTTTAAAAACAATCGAAAAAAACAAAATATATGGCGTTAAAGTTGCGACATTTTAGTGATTTTTAAAAATCAATTTCTTCTTAAAAAAGCAAAAAATGAAAATTTTACTATTAGAGAGGCATACATTAGCTCTTTATTTATTAGTATATACAAAAAGATCATTAAAAAGACAGTCCGTTTTTGTAATTTTATGGGGAGAACGGAGGCACTGTTTTGCAAATATTTAAGTCTGTATCTTAGCGTCACATTACGGCAAATTACCGAACTTTTATATAGACAGAGAAACTTGTGAGACAAAGCATTTATGGGAGGTGCTAAAAATGCAAGGAAATTTGTGATTATGTGTCGGAAACCTTTCGCTCGCTTCATTTGCGTCCAGGGCAATTATTACATGGGACACAAATGTGAGACAATTCCGTGCAAAGATAAAATTGTTGTACCTCAAAACAAAGTAGCATTGAAATTATTCGAAATTGATTGTTGGTTAGCACAATTTTGAACCCTCAAATTAACAAGTTTTTATTAAAAGTAAACAGTATTTTTGTTCTTCAGAATTAATGTGCGTAATTTGCACATATAGGTATA